TTATATTTATTTCATTTCCGGTCTAATTTTTGGGTGGAAAGTGATCCAAAGGGAGTCAAGATGCTTGGATAATTTTCTCTATGCTGTAGCTATTGTGCGGTTTGTAAGGGTCCCTTGTAAGATATTTAATAAAATAGATTAGTGTTTCTGAAAATTTGTGCATTGTGTGCACAAATTTAATATCGCACGCATTAGGTATATGCCAGGGTTGTGCATCTACGCGTAAAATATAATATTCTACGTTTACGTGTAGACAACGTAAACTATTGTAAAAGTGTCATCTATGTAGACAGTCAGTAGACTATATATTTATTCATTTAATAAATACATATAATTTAACATTTATGTAAAAAAAACTACCATTTCAGTAAGAAAAATTCTCTGGTTGCATTCTTAATCTTAATCTCGTAGTTAAATTAATGTTCAAAATACATCAAGAATATCCTAAAGATATCGTGGTATCTTTAGTCTGTTCCTGGATGCATTTTGGACATTTTTACTATGGGTATAGAGACTGTTATGTAATTTAATTCTTTTATATTATATATATTAGTGATACAATTTTAGTGATACAAAATTTTAGTGATACAAAATTCTACATAGTTTACAAGTCTACATTGTCTACGTAGCAAAAAGACCATGTAAACATCACGTAGATTTCACGTAAATAATCCGTGTAGACGTAATCTTGAAATCTACGGCACAACCCTGGTATATGCACAAATCGTCGGTAAAATAGCGACGTTTTAAAGTTTGATCTCCACTTTACCATACATCCCTTAAGAGTCGATATACATTATTGCAATACCTACGTTATCTATGTTTGGACATTTAATTTATTCTTCAGTTATCTTCGCAGTTACTCGGTGAATAAATGGTTGGAAACTTCATCGAGAATCACGGATATTGAATTTACACGTGTAGCCAATCACATATTTTCCCGATAGATAACACGCTATGCATACGATTTCGATAATTGTGTATGTCATCCCTACCTCTATATTCTCTTTGCGTTTTTATTTTTAAAGCATAATTCGTCAAAACCTTGTTTTTGATGATTTCTAATTAGAAAGATATGTAAATGGCTCAATGTATTACTTATATAGATAAAGTACGTTTTTATTTTTCTTACAACATATAATAATACATATATATATTATTGAGCATTTTTATGTTAAAAAAACAATCAATTTTATTTAACCTTTAAACCACCACATCTCAAAAAATTATACTAACACCACAATGTCGGTCTGACAGACCGCTATTATGCTTTCGCTAATTTTATAAGTTATGTATAATAAAAATGTATGTTTTCTGAATATTTGTGATGGGGAAAAAGAAAACTATGTTTTAATGTGAGGGTTAACAAAAAAATCTCGTATACAATACAAATAAAATATATTTAAATGGTGACAAATAAAAAAATGGTCAACCATTTTTGTCTGTGAGACGGATATAGTGATTTAAAGGTTAAATTTTAAAAATCTTAAACAAGTCAAACTCAGACCATTATATTTTATATTATGGACGTCCTCTCAGGAGTTGGAAGGAAGTGAGAAAAAAATTAATTTTCACACAAAACTTTTATTAAAATACTTATATTAAATTCAGTCTTTGAAAATCTTCAATGAATTATATTTCTTTTTGAATACTTCCAGCTTATTATTTGTTCTTTTCGTGATTTTCATAATTTGTTTTTCGTGGCAAAATTTAGGGGGAGACAGACACCCCCCTTGCGTAAATACGTCCATAACGATCATAAGGTTTTTCAAATTGATTCTTTCTTTCCTTTTCATGCCCGCTTCCAGCACGCATATCATCACTGAAATCTGTATATATTTGATTAATACATTTTACCTAGAATTTTCCCATTTTCAACTGAGGATCGTAATAAATCATCAGCTAAAATTTTATTACAAAATAATATTTACATTGAAATTTTCTTATTATTTCCGAAACTCTCGTGTATCTTCGCGCGAACTCTTAACTTCGCGAGTATTAAGGTCGCCATTTTGTGGGTTTACATGCTTAAGTACCAATGATCGTACATACAAACGAGCGCAAACGAGCGTTTGAGCGATATAGAATAGCCAGAATTGTCATTAAGCCCCGTGGATGGTTTCCCATTGGGACCCGTGGGATTTCCCGGCTGCGTATCACACTCACACGCGATATCTGACTGTACACATGCCTATATGCGTGTGTGTGTGTGTGTGTGTGCGCGCGCGCGCTCGTGCGCGCGTGTGCCTAAGTGTGTTTTACCCCGATTCCCCTGATTCTTATATCGATCCGACAGATCTGATATCATCCAACGTTATCCCTTGGGTTCTCACTCATCTGCCGACAAAAGAGCATCTGTGCGAACCGATCCGTAATGCTCCTGCAACCTGTTCACAAGTAGCTTGCCCTACGCACAGCATGAATTCATTATCAGTCTAGTATAAACATATTGCCTGGTATATATGGATGGGGTGTGCTCTGTGTCAGTCAACAGAGCCCGCGTTTTTCACCGTCTCTTCCCGAGTCTGATTTCTGATGTATGTATACATACACCGTAACTGCAGCGTGATTCTCTGTCACGTGCATTAAATTCGTCGCGAGCTTGCCTTTTACTTTGGGGGGGAGGGGGGAAATCAGATTGAAAGATATATCAATTGTGATACCTGTTATTTCGATTTTATTAGACGCGAATTGTAAGATATGATACGTACATTTTGCTCCAATATAGCCTAATGTGGAATATAAAATGGCTCGTAAAACAAGATGTAATTGACCCTCTTTTTCGAAAAAAATAGAGCCATTAATATTTTGCTTCTTTATTAAATGTGTATACACACTGCATGCATCAGAAAAACATCCTTTCAAGTTAACACGTTTTGTGCAATTCTGAGAAGAGATAAGGGATTGAATTTAATATTTCTAAAAGTAAAAAAATATAAAAAAGAAATAATTAGCAGAAGAATAAAAATTGAAAATAATAGTGATGAGGATCATAATAATGGTATTATTTGAGGAATCAAAGAATATTAATTTAAATAATGATTTTAAATTGACAATTTAATTGTATGTACGATCATTGGTACTTAAGCATGTAAACCCACAAAATGGCGACCTTAATACTCGCGAAGTTAAGAGCTCGCGAAAATACACGAGAGTTTCGGAAATAATAAGAAAATTTCAATGTAAATATTATTTTGCAATAAAATTTTAGCTGATAATTTATTACGATCCTCAGTTGAAAATTGGAAAATTCTAGGTAAAATGTTAATCAAATATATACAGATTTCAGTGATAATATGCGTGCTGGAAGGGAGAATCAATATTCTCAAAGATTTTGCATGTTTTTCCTTAGGAATATAATGACGGACAATCACAGAAATCAAGCATGACGATGCTCTAATTAATCTAAATTTTGGTCAAGCCTCGAGATTATTGCTGACTTGTAACATCGCTGCATTTTGATAGACGCAATTATTTTTACTGTAAGGTATTGTAAAGTACACACTGCACGCACACACAAGCACACGCACGCACGCATGTACGCACACACATCTTTGTGTGCGTTTGCACGTATACACGTAGCAACGCTTGTGTGGTCAATCCCGACCTGGCTGTGTATGCAGGACTGCGGTGGCAGGTGACGGCGTGTTGTGAGCTGCATAATGAATAATGCGAAAGCCGAACCACAAGCCGTTCCTGTCCTTCCACTTGGCTGACTGAATGACAGCCAGTCTAGGAAAAACCACTGATTGGCTGTACATACCCCCGGCTCTCGTGCTTGTCACATCCTGTGTGTGTCTACCTGCAGCGATCGAAATCAAGCTGCACGACGAGACTTGATTTTCGTATTTCTGGGACACGCTATCGGCAAATTCACGATGGATTTTGCGAAGCGTCGCGCGGCGCGCGCTTGTAAGGAGACGCGATGGCTGGGGAATATCAAAAATAACATTGGCGTTTCTGAGACACCAAAATTTCATTACATTTATTATTTCGATGATCAGAAGAGGGAT